TGATTCCAGTCTGCAGCACTAACATCTCGAGAATGAGAATCACACAGGTGTAAACCCCACAAACCACATCATCATCATCATCAAGTGCCTAGCCGACTGGCATGGGCGATTATGCCTCTCCACAGTCTGCAATTTATCAGTGCGTTGACCCCCCCTCCATGCTTTGACTTAAAGCTGTCAAGAATCCTCTTGCGCTGTCTTTCTCATACCTTCCCCCCCCCTCCCACAGATCTTTCCAGTGGTCGCAACATGTTCCAGTTTCCTTCTTGTCATAACATAGCCACAAAATGTTGACTTTCTTCTTTCTGATGTTTGTGATAAGGTGTCTTTGAGCCCTCGCAATTTTTAGAACTGCGTTGTAAAATCACATCTCTGAGAACCACTGAAATAGACCAATGGGCACTCGGTGGGTAATTTGGTCAGCATCACGACGGCCGCCTTTACATCCCAGGACTGTACCCGCTACCCATTTAAGGTTGGCTCGACCTGGGAGCAGGTGTCAGGATCTGAACCAACAAGGTAATTTAAAAAAAAAAAAAGTTAGGACTGAACCCACTACCTTCCGATCCGAAGGCGAACGCCTAGCAGGTATACCACAGCGACTCCCCAACTATCTCCATACCTTGTCCTATTTGAGAAGCGGAGGTCGAATGGTTGAATGGGGGGTAGAAGCCTGGGTCGGGGGATGGGGGATGGGGGGGGGGGCGAACTAATCCACCGGGTCACCGAGACCTAACAGATGTCAGGGTGACTGACAAGACTGGTGACACAGCAGTTGTCCGAGCAGATCCTGTCAGTGACTGTCACGCACCTGATCTACGGCGTTACAGACGGGATGGATGAGTCACAGGTAAACGGTTTAGACAGGTATGGTTGCTATAGATCAGTGTTCTCCAAGCTTTTTCAGGTGGCGCCTTCTTCTTCTACTTCTTCTTTTCTCTACTCATGGAATGTCTTGCGGAGTCAGAACAGGAATATATCTCTGAAACGAGTGAAAGAGAGTGAAGGCGGTTAATATTTGCAGCAGTGAACCTAACGGGCTAAGAATGCAGAAGAGGAAGAAGGCTTAGCACTGGAGCGTCGTCGATCTCTTGTTGTAACATATGCCAGGGTGGCTAACAGACAACAACTTTGTTGATCATTATATTTGTTTGTTAGTTGTGTCCTTAAATTATGTCTTATTAAAATTTAATTTCTGATTAACACAATAATATTATGCATACTCATGTAAAAAGCAAAATTAACCACATAAAGTAATTGCAAAGTCTGGCTCACGTTTGACAAACCGGAAGTGTGGCTAAAAGCGGTGGATTCAAATGGAGTCAACAAGAATGGGACCAATTTGTGTCGTAAGTCGGCGATTTCGTAGATGTTTTCTTAATGTATGGAAAACAAAACGACTTAATCAAATGAAATGATGCCAGTCTTTTGCCTAATAATAACAGTAATGCATTATAATTTGTCACAATTAAGGAAAATAAGCTACAGTTGATAAAGTTGATTGATGAGAAAGAAACAAATCAATCAACTTCACTTCGGTCTTACTTCCACTGACTCCAGCAAACGTTTCTTAGGGAGAGGAGTCTGTAGATGAGGATGAGGAAGGACTAAAGTTATAAATAAAAAGTGGTATATTTAAAAGCTAGCAGTATTCATACACAGTTTTGTTAGAGGTAGCAGTGCAAAGTCCGGGTTATTTGTAGTATGAGTATAAGCATAAATAAATTACAGTGTCTTAGCCACTGTAAAAGTATAGTATCATAAGTAGTATGGGGCTCTGTTCCAAAATTCTACCCCAGCCAAACTAATACCCTAACAGGGCTTCAGTCCTATGACAAAACTAGGATTACGTGACAATTTCAAGAGATGCAACACTGCAGATGATAGTAGCAGACGATAATAGCTACCGTTGACAATTTTAAGTGGTTCTGCAGACGATACTAGCAGATGATACTAGCAACCATTGACAGTTTGGAGTCACGCAACATTAGAGACGATAATAGCAACATGGTGGGGAGACTACGTGCTCCGACGCATATTAGCGATAGTGTTCTTCCGATTAAACTCACCGACGACCGTATCCCCTATGCCACGCATAGCGGCATGGATGGGGATCTAAACTAGATGCCTTAGACTCACGAGCAAAAAAATTGGAGGAAGTTGCAGGAGATGCGGTAGCTGCTGCTCGTGAGTCCCAGCCATCCAGTTTAGTCCCAGCCATTCAGTTTAGCCCCATCCACGCCGCTATGCGCAGCGCAGGGATACTGTCAGCGATGTGGCATAGTCGCAGAAACAGGTCCGTAATTAACATATCGCTGAGACCCTTTTAGGGCATTTGTTTTTTTATTTGGAGCCGATCCTAGTTTTGCCACGATTTGTTCCTCGGCAGGAAGTCCAACAAGTCCGCATTTTTCATAGGACTGAGGCTCTGTTAGGGTATTTGTTTGGCCACCATAATGCCGGGGTAGAAGTTCAGAGGAGAGCCTGAGTATGACATTTTGACAGTGATTGATTTACCTCTCATTCTGCTCTTTGAATTTTTTTTTGCGTGAACCAGCAAAGGCTGTTCACTAAAAGTTTAGTCATGAGTTTTGTTTATGCCTAAACCGTGTCTAGATTACATCTAGATCGTTTGCATCCCACTATCGTTATAATGATCGAATTGATTCATTGTGAGGGCAATGAAGGTTAGTGCGGAACAGTAATAAGGACTAAAAAAGCTACACTAACACTTAAATCAACAAGTTTGTGTATTCTTGTACTTGTCTTCTAATGGAGTACAGGCCTGCAGCTCATGTAAATCCCTTTGTATCATAATGAATGATAGGTTAGTCTTCTTCTCTTGTCACCTCAGTGACACCAGGTTGTAACCCAGTGTCATAGTTTTGTCCTATAATTCATTCTTTCTTGGGTAGTAGCAGTTGATTACACCACTGCCGGCTTGCTAGGCCTGTCACATGGTGGGACAATGGGAAAAAACTGACCTGGTTGGTGCTCATCTCCTTCCAGGTGAGCTATTGTCTCAGTAGCCTGAAACCACACAACCACAGTTTTCCAGAGTGCACCACGAGGAGGTGATGACGTCCTGGGTGTTCTACAGGTCATTGGAGGGTTAATATAGTTTTCATTGTCACCTCTCCAAAGAGAAGCCAGACAATCTCAACACTGCCGGTTACAGTGTAATTATTCTTCTTCTTCATGTTCGCCGGCTATAAACTCCGGCGGAAAGTTCTTTTTTGCTTGTCCACTTCTGGACTCTAGTCCTGTTCCAGAAACTGAGTGTTGCATGCACATCTGTTTCACAGGTCTCACTCATTCTATCCCATTTTTATATTATTTTAAACTAATATGAGCCAGCGTCAGTGCGAACGCTTCATAGTGCCGGGTTCGATCCCAGCTGCGGGCCATGCGCCTTGCGTTGGTTTCGACAGTGGTATCAAGAAAGCCGACCGTCCAGAAAGCAATAGCAAACTACTGGATGTAAATTTGCCTAGAGAAACCACACAACAGCCAGGGGCTGCTGGGGTTGGTTCTGCAACATCCTGTAAAGGATACGCAACTAACAAACCAACATGAGCCAGTGTCTCATAAATTATTACAAACTTTGGGATCAAAATTGTTCAAGTACCAATGGTCTAGGGTGCAAAGAGTTTAATATCCAACTTCATCCAACATTTTTTTGGAAATAAAGTTAGATAACATTCATGTGATAGACCAAACATCCAGTTGTTGGTGTAAGTGAAAGTTGAATGTCATTCATCAGACGTCCTTCTGTTAGTAGAAAAATATATACTAAACAAGATTTCTAGGCGTGTCTACACATGAAGATAGAAGAAGAATGGGTAAACAAGATTTGGATCCATGCCCTACACCCTGGGGTCCTGGATTCCCAGGTTGACCCAGCTAAACTAGGGACTAGATAAAGCCAGGAGAAGTAAAAATGCTGCCGTGATATTGATCCCAATGCCCACCAAGTGTCTGCTGGTCTATAAAAATGTCAGTCTAGCACAGCGGTTCTCAACCTGCGGGTCATGACCCTTAGTCAGCAGGTCGCAACCCTTTGTTGGGTCAAATGACCCTTTCACAAGGTTGCCTAAGACCATCTGAAAATACATATTCATTAAAGTTGTGAAGGAAAATAATTGGGGGTCGCCACAACATAGGGAAATGTATTAAAGGGTCGGGGCTTTAGGAAGGTGGAGAGCCACTGGTGTAGCATCATAAATGTGATGCGCCACTGGTGTGAAAAGGAGCCTTAACTGTGGTTTTCTTATTAGTTCTCCAAATGGTAGAAGAGGAATTATTAGGATCAGATCCCCATGTGGATTCCAGGGCCTCATTGTGGGGAAAACAAGAACAGACCCACTGCCTCCCCAACTAGCATGGTGTAGGAGTAACCTAATTGGGAGATTTCTTCGAAGTCGGATTTCATCTGCCCCAGCGGCAAAGAGCAACCAACTGTACATTGAAAAAACCCCAGTAAAATGGATGTGTGCACAACTCCGACCCTGACACAAAGCCAAAGTCCAAATGGACCAACAACGAAGGACTTTCTGCCAGAACCTTCAGCCATGATCAAAGAAGAAGTAAAATTATATGTCCCTTTGTGCATTCCAGGACCCATTTTTGAGAAATAAAGAATAAGTTCACTGCCCCCATATAAAGCGTGTCATACAAAGCAAATAATTCTTTTTCATGCATGTAGTGCATCAAAGGCAAGGAACCAACAGTCTGCACACAAATAAGTCAGATCTGTAAAACATGTGCACACAAAACTCAAGTTCTAGAAGAACACCAAAGTCCAGAAGTAGACAAACAACCATAACTTTCTGCCAGTTTACAGCCTTTGAAGAAAAAGAAGATGATGTCCAAATGACATCACCCTAACCAACTCGAAACATAATCATTCTTTAATGTCTTGCAGCTGACATAGTGAAATTGGCCAGGTGTTACACTTAGAACCAAGCTGAGCAGCTCAAAATACTTTTTTGGTGGGCAGTATGGATACAACTTCTCCTACAAGGTTCGCCAAATTTTTTTTTAATTAGAATAGATTGTTGTACTGTTTTTTTTATAGTATACACTTATTTATTGGTACTGTAAAGATTTCAACTGCTGCACAGCTGTGTCCAGACTTTAAATGCTGCACAGCCGTGTCCAGACTTTAAATGCTGCAAGCTGTGTCCAGACTTTAAATGCTGCAAGCTGTGTCCAGACTTTCAATGCTGCACAGCTGTGTCCAGACTTTCAATGCTGCAAGCTGTGTCCAGACTTTAAATGCTGCACAGTTGTGTCCAGACTTTAAATGCTGCAAGCTGTGTCCAGACTTTAATTGCTGCACAGCTGTGTCCAGACTTTAAATGCTGCACAGCCATGTCCAGACTTTAAATGCTGCAAGCTGTGTCCAGACTTTAATTGCTGCACAGCCGTGTCCAGACTTTAAATGCTGCAAGCTGTGTCCAGACCTTAAATGCTAAACATTATTTTAGAAGAGCCTTCAAGCAGCAGGAAGCCATGGTGAGTTGCGTCTAGATGCTCATCTGTTGACCCAAAGGTCGCTTGTTCAAGTCTGAACAGAACGAGACTTTAACAAAAATTATCTTGGCTCCTAGATTGACCCAGCCAGGTGAAGTTGTGGGAAGTAAAGTCAGCGGGCATAATGCTGACCAGACTACCCCCTGAGTGCCAATCTAATGGATATCCAGTTGGTTTAATGAAGCGTCATTGCCAGTCGCCCCAACCAATTACCATAAAAATGTTGGTGCCCAAAAAAAGAAAACTTAACGTCCATCTAACTTGTTTGAGGAGATGTCATTATGCAGCGTTCATATAACCGGGTCAAAATAGCAGTCAGTCAAGTATTTTACGCAGCTGTTATCAAATTTAAACTCATCGTAATTCCTACGCTACCAGTGAAAGAACCAATGTCAACATACGCCAATTCTAATTGTATTTACCAATTTAAATGCACCTGCAATGCTGCATATGTGGGCAGAAATGACTGAAGACTGGAGAAACGGGTTGCTGAACATATTCCACTATGGGTGGTAAATGCACTGCAAAACTAACAAGTCAACAACAACGAATCAGGTAATGTGTTGAAAAAATCCCCCTTCAGCCATATTCTGAAACCTGGTCACATTGTAAACAAGGAAGATGCATTTCAAATTATTTACACTTCAGCAAACCGTAGATTACTGAGATTTGGTGAAAGTGACTGCCAAAAACCGGTTTGTCCAGAATTATGCAGACAAAAGGACATGCTCTTCACCTTGCATTTACCCTAGTGAAACAGACAGTTTTTGAACGTATTAGATCTTGTGTTTCTCTGTTTGAAGGATTCATTTATTTGCTTAATTTAACAAATGTTACTGTAGTATGCATCTGACGAGGCTCAGCGAAATATACCAGGCAATAAATTGTGCAGTCTATTTTGTGTGTCTTCTTTGTTGAAATTCACCATGGGAAAACATTGCTTTGATGCTTGTAAATGTTAACAATAGAAACAGTAAGCTCAGACTTCTTTAGTGTTAAAATTACATGAATAAACAAACACATGAATGTTAAAACTACCTCTACAGAAATCAGGGTCCATATTTTTATGAGGGAAAAAAAGACTCACTGCTCCCTCCTGCGTGCACAAACACATTCGCAGACACACCCAACAAGCATTTCATAAAAGGCCACTAAATAGGGGTTTGTTGAAATGTCTCGGACCAAAAGTGCTGATTTCTTAGCCTTGCTGTAACACACAAGCCATGTGCCAAGTGCCCTTCTTTGGTGAACACCGGAAAAGAAGATGTCTTAAAATTAGTTTTAGTAAACACAAATATTCAGATGTTATATGGTTATTTCCAGCATTTCGGCCGAGGGCGACTCCATCAAGATCTTCCTGCGAGTTCGACCTCCTGACCCCAGTATCAGTGAGAATGACTTTGCGCCGAGAGTGCTGGATGTCAACACAGCCGATTGTGCCGTTATTTTGCGGACAAAGCCAGAACCTAAGGTGTTCACCTATGACAATGTTGCCGACGCAGATATCACCCAGGTTTGTGAAAGATTTTAATGTCTTCTGCCTTTAGTTTTCATCTCCCAATGGATCATGGGTCTCAGGTCATCTTATCTTGATCCTCTTGTACAATGTGGCTTCAGATGAAAACCTTCAAAGTGTGATAGAAATTACAAAAACCATATCATTGTCTTGTAACCTGTCAGTATTGTTGTTAACTCTTTCAGTCCCAGGGGGTTGAACAGCAAAGACCTAGGGGGACTAAAATCAGCGTATCTTGTGGTCATTGGGCTTCTAGATAGAAACCTATGAACATATGATGTGTTCCTTGGGACTGAAAGAGTTAAGGGAGTTTAGCATGTGATATCATAGTGCAGACGAACACAGCGACGTCATAATGACAACTTAAAGATTGCCGCCCAACTTTTCACATGTACCAAAGAGAAGCAGCATGTCCTTTTGGTTTTTAAAATCAGTGAAGGGTGACACCTATAGAGATTCATCGGCCAATGAAGATCCAGTATGGTGATGGATGCCGGTCAGTCCGGCAGTTGTACGAGTGGAGAAGGAAGTTTAAGAGCTATATGGCTTCTTTGACAGACTATTCACCTGTGTGTTTGACCCGGTGATGAACATGCTACAAGAGGTTACAAGACAAATAGCATACTTATTGTAATTTCTATTGCTCTTCTAAGGTTTTAATTACTTTGTGATGCCAGGATGATGAATCAGCACCATGAGAGAGCTGTTTTGTCTGCTTCATAAAGCAGGGTTTCCAGGAAGTCTGTTATTCGCTTTGAGATTGCTTTACATTATCCTCTCTTTCAACTCCCACTTGGTGGGAACATCATTGCTTGTTGTGGTATATTGTCTGTTGGCAATCAAGTTGCATGACCAAACCACCCCACTTGGTGTTTTATAATGAAATCTGTTGCTGCTTCTACTCTTACTTTTTAAAAGATTTTTTAAAGAATCTTTTAGATATGTTGGCGTTTTCACCTCACTTACACCATGTGCTTGTTTGACTTTTTCGTATGTTAGATTTTGCTGCTAGTTTTCCCAGGATGCATAGTCAGTCAGTTTCATGCCAGATCTTCTTGGTTGTGTCTAGTGAAATACATGATAAATAAGTTATTTTGTTGTCATTGCTTCCTTTGTCCAGCGGTCAGAGGTAGTTAAGTGTCCCTTAGATCTTTTCTCTTGGAAATGCGGGTGTGTTGGGGAATAACCAAGCAGACTGGCTGGATGGCTCTGCATCACTGGTAGTGAATTGATGCATGACAAGCTAGATGTGGTCAAGGTCATTAGGGAGAGGGAATAGTGCATTTGCATAAATAGATCAGTGTGGTCTGGAGAGAATGGTACAGCTAGAAGCGACAGGGGATCTCGCAGACACTACACTACACTACACACCTGTGGCTCCACGTAGCTGTCAGCATGCGACAGCAGCCACCCCCTGGGCAACGGCTTTGACAGGCCGGCAAAACCAGTTGGGGGTAGCTGATGCTCCTTTCCTTCGATGAGTTAGGATCTGCCTATCCAAGCATGCAAAGACCACTGTCGGCAGAATGCGCGGAGGAAACCATATTTAGCTCAACGGACAAGACGGCGACAACAGCAAAGCACTGTGGAGCGCATAGAGCATGGCGAGGCACGTAGAACGCCCTGGTCATCCACTGCGCCTAGACATATCTCCAGTCATCTTGACTCTGTCTTGCCACTGGACCCAGATATGACTTAGGCGAGAGAGTGAGGTCGACAACACTGCGCAACTCTTCCTCACTTTAATCCAAGTCACCGCGCAAGTCACTCTTTCATCTTCATCTGGCCTCATCAGTCATCTTCGTACTCATACTTGATGAAAAAGAGTGGTCATCATCATCTTGATGGACAATACACACACACACTCAGAGGAAAGGCAAGGCGAACATACTTGTATAATGAAACTGCTGGTACTATAGGAATTGAAACTGTGTACTGGCTGCTGAATATAGGACAAAGTATTTATGGGAATGTCTAAGTGCTGTAATGTTAGATACTAACTCAGGTCAGCTCTGAGGTTTCAGTAACACATTTAAAACAAGCAGGCAGATAGACAGGCCAGTTCTACACCACTTGGTGATGAACTGATGTACGACAAGCTGGATGTTGTGAGGGCCCTTTGGGAGTGTGTAAACAGTGTGGAGGCACAAATAGACTATTACCGTCTGAGCAGAATGGCGCTGCGAGGAGTTACCAGCGGATCTGGCCGACGCTGAACACTCAAGGGAAAGTTGAGATGAATGTACAGTCAGACAGTATTGGTGCCATCAGAATTGAAAGTCTTCGTTTGCTGCTGAAGATGGGGATTGAGGGTTTATGGGAGTGTCCTGAGTTATGTGATGTCAATTCTTAATTCAACATTCAGTAACACAGGGAGAATTATGAATTTTACAAACAAGTCTGGACTCAGACAGGTGGGCAGACAAAGAAGACTGGACTCAGACAGGTGGGCAGACAAACAAGACTGGACTCAGACAGGTGGGCAAACAAGACTGGACTCGACAGGTGGGCAGACAAAGAAGACTGGACTCAGACAGGTGGGTAGACAAACAAGACTGGACTCAGGTGGGCAGACAAAGAAGACAAGCTGAGAAAATTCAAAGTATACACCTAGACTGAAATTAACTGACTAAGAAAAATGTGTTTAATGGACAAGCAAGAGGTTGACAGTTATTCAAGTGGTAAATACATCAAGTGATGAATGACCAGTAGTCTATTCTGAGCAGAGACAAAGCATTGGATTTCTATTACATACATTCATTTTGGAGAAAGCGCTTGTTTGATTGAATGATTGATTGATTCCCCCGTGTGGGTTCCGGGGCCATATTTTGGGGAAAACAAGAATAGACCCACTGCCTCCCCAAAAGCATGTCTTAAGAGTCGACTAACTGGGGAGCTTCCTTTGAAGTCGGAGTGCATCTGCCGGAGAGGCAAGGAACCAGCAGTCTGCATTCAATTGAATCAGATCTGTAAAACAGATGCACACGCAACACTCAGGTTCTGGAGCAGGACTGCAGTCCAGAAGTGGGTGAACAACCAGAACTTTACGCCAGAGTGTACAGCTGGTGAACGCGAAGAAGAAGAAGAAGAAGAAGACTGATTGATTGCATCAGATAAGCTGGCAGGTTGAGGAATCAGATGATTATTACATAACCAACTTGAAATATTGTGGCATTAATGCATCATAAATTTATACATGAAATACTGCAACATGGTTGTGTCATATATAATTTGTACTTGAAATACTACAACATGTTTCCATCCATTAGGACTGAAATATTGCATCTGAAGACAGCCCCTGATAAATTAGATGTTAGTATACGGAAGTGAGGTTTAGCAGTCATGAGCAGGACATGATGATTCCTTGGTTGAGCCCAGAACCAGAGCACCATGTATTGGCTTTGCATTTACGAAAGTCTCCTCGGATGGCGGGGAATGCTCATGTTCTGCCCCTGCCTTCTCTTGAGGTCTGACCAGCATTGCGTGCTTCTCTGGAGCTGATGTGGGGCACCACCTGTTACCTGGGAAACAAAGATAACCACACAATAATGAGACTGCAATGTCCCCCCCCCCCCCCCCCCCCCCCCCCCCCCCCCCCCCAAAAAAAAATAACTAGGAAGACTAACACGATCAACATATGCCCTCAGATGTCGGATGTGTCTGCCGAAATGAGCAAATATCGCTGTAAATGGCCATCATGCAGTGACATCTTCGGATGAACGCAGAAGAAGAAGAAGAAGATATAGTTACATTTGAAATATTGCATTGTAGTTTTTTCATAGTTATACTTGACCATTGTTATCATTGGGAACATTGCAGGAGGCTGTATTTTCTATTGTTGGCAAGAAAATTATAGAGAGCTGTGTGGCTGGTTATAACGGTACAATCTTTGCCTAGTAAGTGTTCATTTATTTGGTGTTGTATGTGTTTATTCAGTGTGGTTTTTGAGTGTTTTGTGTCTCAGTAAGTCTTGCTAGTGTTGTATGTATTTAAGTGTGCTTTTTGACTGTTGTATGTTTTGTAATCAGTATGTCTTGCCAGTGTTGTATGTGATTAACGCACGGACTACCACGATCGCACGTTAAGCAAATCGCCCAAGTTCACTCCTGACTACCACCACATTAGTTACTATCATAACTTTGGACACTCGCCATCTTGGTAAAATCGTATTGAATCTGGTTGAGGCATTTAGTCCTTTCATTTCATTATATTGCTTTAAGAGAAACAACTCTGTGGTGCTTATAGAATGTGAGTCTTGTGTTTTGTATGTCTTATGTTTTGTATGTCTTATGTTTTGTATGTTTTATGTTTTGTATGTCATATCACTGATTTGTTAACGCCTCACATGGATTCCAAGGCAACATTTTCGTTTGTGGAGAAAACAATATTCCCACTGCTCCTTAAGTAACCCCATCTGTAAGTAACCCCTGGAGAGGCCTAAATTTATTTACTTCTCGTTATAGCATATTTTCTGTCATTGTCCATGAATTAGCATTTCTGCAGTGACGTGTTCTTGAAAAGTGTAGTCGTATGCCATTGGTTCTGTTGATACCTACTTTGCATTTAAGAGACCCGGATATGAATATGTTTACTAAAAATAGGGGGATTTTGTTATTAACCAAGTTTTTTTGTTTTATAAAGCCATCAAGACACCAAAATGATTCAGTAACTACACTTATAGATGTCATAGGGTCACAGCATGGGGTCACCTTGTATTTAGATCCTTATGTTAGATCATGGGGGATGTATTCCATTGAGGCATCTTTCTGTTGCTTACTCTTTATATATCTTTGTATGCTTTATGATCACTTTAGAAGGAGACAATCTACATTCTTTGGTCACGTGATGAGAAGGACAAAAGTGAAGTGCATCGTGACAGTAGGAAAGTTGGAGGGGAGGAGAGGCAGAGGGAGGCAGAGAGAACAGATGCTGGACAGTTTGACATCATGGCATGGAAAATCATCTGTGTCAGAGTTGATTGGAAGTAAACGAGACAGAACGTTGTGGCTAGACATGACTACCAACGGCATGGACTTTAAGAAGAATAAGATGCTTTTGGAAAAATTTCAATGTGGATAAAACATTCAAATAAGGGAATTCCCACAAGCTCATGGCTCATTTTATTTTGCCCATTTTTAAAGTGAAAAGGTTTAAGGCATGTTGTAAAAGGCAACAAATTAAGGATTTTCTAAAAATAGACGGATTCAGTAGAAAGGGACCGATATCACATCCCAGCTGTAAACCACAATCCAATGTCCCAACCACCCTTCTAAGTGTGAATGCAGGAGGAGGAGTATGTTAACACAACATGATAATACGAATACTTGTACAATAACCGTTACACTGCATATAATATAAAAACCAGGAATGTTAACATAACTTGCTTGTTTCTCTCAGTGGCCAGACGGGATCAGGAAAGACATTTACCATGCTTGGTGAGTTAGAATTCAAAGAAAGTGTTGTAACATCCATGTTGAATAACATTCATACATGAACACAATAAAACTAACAAACAGACCTTATTTTTTACAGCTTCACAAAATTGGGTACACAGGCCAATCTTACATTTGACCATTCCAATCACTCATCATTCACACCTCAACACAATTGTATTTTATCTGTAATGGATGTTATGTTCAGTAGTACTGTACATAGTATGAATATTGAGAAACAGCACAAAAGCATGGAGGGCAAATGCATATATTCAAACATACATATACATACACCCACATACATACGCACATACATACTCATACATACATACTCATACATACATACTCATACATACATACATACATACATACATACATACATATACATACTCATACATACATACTCATACATACATACTCATACATACTCATACATACATACATACATACATAATACATACATACATACATACATACATACATACATACATACATACATACATACATACATACATACATACATACATACATACATACATACATACATACATACATACATACATACATACATACATACATACACGCACACACACACATGCACATACATACACACACACATGCACACACACACATATACACATACATACATACACACAACACAGATGTTCTCAGCTTTATGTATTTGTAGGAACACTGAATCGACCATTCTCTACTCTGTAACATATTTACTCTTTGAATCGCAGGTCCGTCAGAGAATTCGGAAAGCTTCCAGCATGAACTGCGTGGGGTCATCCCTAGAAGTTTTGAGTACTTGTTCAGTCTCATTGCACATCAACAGGAGCTGGTGAGTTTGGTGGAATTGCAAATGTAGATTTTGGATATAAATAAATAAATTCCAGTAAATCAAGAGATAGAGAAACAGATGCTGGAGCGGTATATGATAGGACACACGTTGAAAAAACATGAGAACAATGTAACTAGAATGTATTTGCACTGGAGCTGGCAGTGTCAAAGGAATAAAGGCAGACTGAAGAACAAATTGGGTCTGTAACTAGAGAACGAACGAACGAACAAACTTTATTTTCAAAGGGTTACAAATTAGGCACGCAGGCCTGTCTTACATTCGGCCCTTCCAAACTTCCATCTTTCACACAGCAGTTGTATTTCATCAATTAAGCATGTTATATTCATGTAATAATATGCATATTATATATATGAAGTCAAAAACAAAAGCATGGCTGGTAAAATATGTACGCACGCTCACACGCGAACACACACACACACACATACACACACAAGCCCAATGACTCACTTACACACAAAAATATAGGCACCACATGCACACACACATACATACATACATACATACATACATACATACATACATGCATACATACATACAAACTCACATAATACATACATACATACATACACACACACACATACACACACACACATACATACATACAAACATACATGCATACATACATACATACATACATACATGCATACATACATACATACATACATACATACATACATACATACATACATACATACATACATACATACATACATACATACATACATACAAACATACATACATACACACACACACACACACACACACACACACACACACATACATACATACATACATACATACATACATACATACATTCATACATACATACATACATACATACATTCATACATACATTCATACATACATACATACATACAAACATACATACACACACACACACACACACACACACACATACATACATACATACATACATACATACATACATACATACATACATTCATACATACATTCATACATACATCATACATACATACATACATACATACATACATACATACATGCATTCATGCATGCATACATACATACATACATACATACATACATACACTCATACACACGCTCTAAAACACACACGCATACAATCCAGACACATTTAGACACACACACATGCAGTCACGGGCACACATACGGGGACACATACACACACGCAGGCAGGGAAACAGGCACACACATTGACATACGCAACACCCACACATACAAAGATATACACACACAGACACGCACAGTCAGACATACGCACACAGAGGCATAACCCGACACAAGCAGAAACACGCAGACATAATATAATAGATACACCGAAAGAGACTCACACAGATACACACAAAGCCACGCACAGCCACAGACAGACACATATACACATGCAGCCATACACACCTACAGACACAAAATGGCACATACACACACTGACACACAGAGACGGACACAAACACATACTAACACACCCACAGACGCACAAATACTCGCACAGACACACACATGCAGACGCACACACACACACACACACATTATCAAAAATTTGAACATACAAATACACACGAAACAACACACAGAGAAACACACAGCCACAGGCACACGCAGGCATAGACACACAGACACACGCAGAAACACCTACAGACACAGCATAGATACACACAAACAGACAGACACACACACACAGACAAACATGCAGCCAAGCCACCCCGCACATATCCACATACAATCACACACACAGACACACACGCAGCCACACATACAGATAGACATAAAAACACACACAGACACACAACACAGACTGACACGCACACTGACACGCAGACAGACACACACAGACACGCACCCAGACACCATACAGACAAACAGACACACGCCTACACACAGATACATACACACAAACGTATACAGTTACCCATGCATACACAGAATCATACATACACACATATGCCTACACACGCCAGCATGTCACACATATACGCATACAAACATATCATACGTACCGCAATTAATTATAACTAGTAATCCATTGTGGATTATTAACTACATTTAGGTGGCATGTAATCACTGATAATCATGAAATGAAAGAGTTTGCGGTTAAATGAGTAAGGACTTTTTGTAGTTTTCAGATCGGGTGGAAGATGGTTCCATAAATGAGCAGCAGAATATGCTAGACCTGTTTTAAAGAGGAGGACATGGAGTGAGCTGCATGCGATAGCAAGACATATTAGATCTGCTGGGCTGGTCACCTGGCCTGAACTGATATCAGTTTGCTTCTAAAGAGAATATTTTTTACAGTGACGTTCTCCATCTTAGGAAAAATTGCCAGCTGGGCAGAAAAAAAAAAAGTACTGTAAAGGAATGCATAACTGTTCTTAAATCTGTTTGCATTAAGACAGAAACATAGAAGCTGTTATGCAAGACTGATCTGAATTGCATACAGTCATCAAGCATGGTGCATCAGCCTGCCAGGCAGCGGAGACTGCGCTGGTATAGAAACAGGTAGACAAGAAAGAACCGTATGTAAAATCCTACCTCTACTGTTAACCAAGAAATCAAAATCAGGATAGGTAAGGCAGCAACAGCAATGAGCAGATTAACAAAAATGGATTGGGAGAACAGAAAGCTAACGAGTAAAACAAAAACTCTTGTCTATCAGGCTCGTGTTCTCAGCACTCTGCCTTATGGCAGTGAAACTTGGTCAACTTATTTGCATCAGGAGAGACGACTAAATAGCCTTCACGTGCGATGCCTAAGACGAATACTTGGCATTCAGTGGCAGGACAAGATCACAAATGCCACTGTTGGACGTTTTGGAAAGAGCAGTTATTACAAGTTTGTTTCAATGCCCAGTCTATGAAGGCGCAGGTGGCTGGGTCACACCTGGAGAATGGAGGATGGCAGAGTCCTTAAGGACATCCTCAATAATAAATTAAAGATGAGTAGAAGATGTTGATGCCGACCTCTACTACCATATAAAGATGTATGCAAGCGGGACATGACTTATAAAGGTACTGAGGTGCACTTGTGGGAACAAAGTGCCATGGACCGTGCTGTGTGAAGCAGGCACATCTGGAAGGGAATGAGAATGAAGGAAGAAGTGACTGCAGAAAGGATGAGAGCTGAGCATCTGAGAAAAAACTAAACACAAATGTTGACAACACTGGTCCAGAAATTCTATGCTATAATTGTGGAAGACTGTTCTTGACACGGGCGGGTCTTGCTAGTCACACTCTCCATCGCCATGGGCTGTGAGTTTCATGCCTCCTCTTAGCACATTATAACACTATTGTCTGGTAATACGGAAAGATGCCGATCGACTGTTGCTTCCATATGTTGTCCACACTGCCCATGAACTTCACTGTCCCAAATTAGACTCAACAGCCATCTTTGTGCTCACAAACAGTATCATTACTGCTGCTGGAGGCTGAGTGGTCTTCATCATTTATGATGAATGAATAAACAACACAGCAAAGGATAAGATGATTTGACCTTAGTTAGTTAGGAGGGGGGGGGGGCGATGCTCTTTTGAGGAATAAAGAATAGAGAAAGGAGCTGATGGGTTGAAACCTGGTGTGACACAAGTTTGTGAATTATTTACATTCATTGGCAGGCAATTGTTGGCCTGGTGGTTGTGAAATGATCAGTATACTTGTCATCACACAGGTCCATGGTTTAATTTCTTCAGTGATGGGTTTTTTCTGCCACTGTACCCAGGGGTTGAACATGTTTCGAACAGTAGGGAGACCAAGTTGTCTAGGAAAAAGGGTACATGATACTGACCTTCCCTCTGGCCCACAAGAGCATCCTGATGGATCACCGGTGGAGACCTGAAGCACACTGTCCTTTTTGTGTGTGACCCCATAGCAAACACTGATCGCTGAAGAAGAAAAACTCACCTTGCCCGATTGGTTCTGAGACTCTGTTTTTGAGAGGGGAGGGAGTTGTGGAGAGGGGAGGGAGGAATAAACCCACTGACTCCCTAGACTAATTAGGGGTTTGCTTAAATCAGATGTTTTGGGTCGAAAGATACAGATATCGCAGCCTAGCTGTAAACCAACATATATACCACCCTTTCTGAGGGAATGCTAAAAAAGAACATACGGACCACTGTCATGTGTTAAACTTTGATGATTGTTCGGCACAAATGTGGACCTGGAAACTCAGTGATGGGAATGTGAATCTTTTGCCTCCCAATTAAGTGAGCATCTCACTGCAGCAAGTGTATTGAAATATTGGGCTCTCCTGTAAACTACGGCCGGTAGACAACAGTTGACGGCCGGTTAGTCGGAGTTCTGTCCCCTGGCTGCAGTGCAATTACGGACGAGAAGGCACGAATCAAAAAACAAAGTGAGGTCGAAATGCCTGGCAGAATCCGCGCTGCGACTCAAGGTAGCGACCGCGTTCAATTACCGCTTCTTGCGACGCATTGCGGAGTGGATTAGAGGGAAGGAAACAAGTGACATAATTACTGTGTGTTGGCGATAGACAGCGTGCAGTGCCCTACTGTCATCATACGGTTAGGGTGTGGGTTAGGGGTAGGGTTTAGGGTTAGGGTTTGGGTAGCTACGTTGAGTGTCTGCGAAGACGAGATGCGTCGACACTAACCGCAATGCTAACCCTAACCCAAACCCAATCCCTAACCCAAACTCTAACCCTAACTCTAACCCTAACCCAAACCCAATCCCTAACCCAATCCCTAACCCAAACCGTAACCGTGTGATTATAGCAGGGCAGTGCACGCTGTCTATTGCCAACACACAGTAATTGTGTCAATTGTGTCGTTCCCTCCTTTTCCACTCCAAGGGACAGAACTCCGACTAACCGGCCGTCTACTGTTGTCTACCGGCCGTAGTTGACAGCAGAGCTAAATATTGTAATGTTAACAAACATACATACCTCATTTCTAAAATGTTAGCGGGTATATGCGAGATTTTTTAATATTAAGTGTGGTGGAGTATTCAGTGTTAACATGTTTTAGAGGGATATTGTAGTGTTAACATGTTTTAGAGGGATATTGTAGTGTTAACATGTTTACTAAGGCTTTTTTCTTCAATATGTTAACAAGTTTACTTGAGATTAAAAAAAATTTCAACTCGGTCTCTAAAGATCTTTAAAATCTTAATAATGCGTTAAAAGGGTAAAAGGTAAGCAAAATTATGAATGTTTTTTTCCCCCAGCACGGCAGCAAAAAGCAGTTCTTGTGCCGCTGTTCTTTCCTGGAAATCTACCAAGAACAAATATTTGATCTCCTGGATCCAGCTTCACAAGGTCTTCATTTACGGGAAAATATGAATAAAGGAGTCTTTGTAGACGGGCTCATTGAGCAAGTCATCTGTAGCCCAAGTGATGCTTATCAGGTGAGGCGACCAGTTCTTTCCTATCTTCCTCCATGAATATTCTTCATAAAAGGAATGGTAATGGTAATTTTAATGTTAGTTTCAGCTTCATAGCAAACAAGTCACCCCATAATTGCTCCGCTCCTGTGCCAACGAAAAATACACTGAATGTTCATCACAGTCTCTTGTGGGGAGATTGACAGACTGCTGTCTCAGCATATGAACTAGCATAGACACACATTAAAAGCATACGGTAGCCATTAGAAATGCTAACACAAACCGTCCGACATTAGAAATGCAGTTCATCATCGACGGTAGCAGAGGTAACAAACAAATTAGCAGCTGCACACGCAATCAGTTTTAATCACATAAGGGCACCGCTAATATTGCAACAACAGCTCATGCACCATTTTCTGAATCTACAATTCACAACACCACGTTGGTCACAGTGGAAAAACATTCCAAATGAAATCCGCGGCTCACAGGGCCGCACTATGCACTCAGCTCAGTAGCTGGGTGACGAAACTATACCCTTTCAGTCTACAAATGGAGCAAAAATGCAACTGTCACTGTCTGGCAGAAACAGTGACCGTGCCTAGCATCCATTTTGACCGGAAGATTGCGTTTATAGTGCTGACCTGCTTCACTCTGGATCCATGCAATTGTTTTAACGTCAGGAGTAGTTATAGGGGTAATGCTTTGTGGAGCATTGCTTGATTGGAGCAGTAATTTATAGAGTCATGTTTTGTGGAGCATTGCTTGATTGGAGCAGTAATTTATAGAGTAATGTTTTGTGGAGCATTGTTTGATTGGAGTAGTAATTTATAATGTTTTGTGGAGCATTGTTTGATTGGAGCAGTAATTTATAGAGTAATGTTTTGTGGAGCATTGCTTGATTGGAGTAGTAATTTATAGAGTAATGTTTTGTGGAGCATTGCTTGATTGGAGCAGTAATTTATAGAGTAATGTTTTGTGGAGCATTGCTTGATTGGAGCAGTAATTTATAGAGTAATGTTTTGTGGAGCATTGCTTGATTGGAGCCGTAATTTATAGAGTAATGCTTTGCTGGAGCATTGCTTGATTGGAGCAGTAATTTATAGAGTAATGTTTTGTGGAGCATTGCTTGATTGGAGCAGTAATTTATAGAGTAATGTTTTGTGGAGCATTGCTTGATTGGAGCAGTAATTTATAATGTTTTGTGGAGCATTGCTTGATTGGAGCAGTAATTTATAGAGTAATGCTTTGCTGGAGCATTGCTTGATTGGAGCAGTAATTTATAGAGTAATGCTTTGCTGGAGCATTGCTTGATTGGAGCAGTAATTTAAGTAATTTATAGAGAAGAAACACTCTAAACACATATGTCGACAACAGTGTTTTCTTGAAATTCTATGCTATAATTGTGGAAGACTGTTCTTTACACGGGCGGGTCTTGCTAGTCACACTCTCCATCGCCATGGGCTGTGAGTTTCATGCCTCCTCTTCGCACATTATAACACTATTGTCTGGTAATACGGAAAGATGAAAATGAAAGATTAAATATGAAAATATTAAAAAAAACAGCAGAAACATATGTTTAGCTGGGTAAGAACTTCAACTGCTTCAACACACTAAGAAAAGAATTAAAACCCGGAATGTTACCTGTAAATAAAGATACTAGGCCCTACAACACCTGCTAAAATCACAGGCTGTGTTTAACACCAAGATCGCAATATATAAAATACTGAAAAGACAACAGTCTTACATGGCTGTGAAACTTGAAGCACAACTAAGAGATAAAGCTGTGTTATAATGTTTTTTTGTTTTCAACGGCTTTACAGTGAATCTTTGAACCTGTCAGATGCAAACGGGGGGGGGGGGGGGGGGGGGGGGGGGGGGGGGGGGGGGGGGGGGGGGGGGGGGGGGGGGGGGGGGGGGGGGGGGGGGGGTGAGAAGCAACACCAAAAATAATAATCTGTTTAAATCACTGTTGATCACTGGCGTCATGAGGGCTGATAAAATGAAATGGCTGGGTCGTGTAGACATAATAGCCTATTACAGAGAGTACTGTGTGCACAAGGGAGTTGTCACACATGGGAGTTGTCACACAAGGGACTTGTCAGATATCTCTGTAGACCTTGATTCAGACCAAGAAGACAGTGGAACGATAATATCCAGGCTCACCTACAAATACTTCTAGACACCAACTGGAAAAAGTAGGCCAGTCACATAGATGAATGGAGGTGGATATCTTCAGCAGTGAACCTTAAGGGTTCATAATGCTGAAGATAAATACTTTGCTGGAGCATTGCTCGATTGGATAAAAGCTTGATTGAGTAATCTTCATAGTGTGCTAGGAGGATGAAAGGTAAGAAAAATTGAGAATGTTTTTCCAGCATAGCAACAAAAAGCAGTTCTTGTAATCGGTGGGGGAACAATGCAATGGATCGGGCCAACATTCTGAGTACTCTCAAGGAGGCAGGACGAGAAGATGATTCAGGAGACGATGTTGAATCGGCAACACTCAAAAGACTACAAGAACTTCAGGTCAAAAGAGGTGTCGCCACACACCAACACTATACAGCTAGCCAAAGAAAAATAGTAAACGAACACAGAACTGGTGTTGTCAGTCACCGCACGCAAAGATATACTGAAGATGGATTCACATTGTTCAATTTGCAGTTAGGATAATCTGTTGAATAATAACTAACTAACTAACTAACTAACTTGATTGATTAATTGGACCGGATACAAGTTTTGTTGTTGTTGAGAAAATTATGATTAGGGTAATGCTTGATCTGAAATATTTTTGATTGAAAAAGTTGATGTAGTTGTGATGAATGTCAAGTTAATATCAAAACATTCTTACTAGTTATGATGAACTTTACAGTTAGCATCTAGACCTTTAATCTAATTTTAATTAATGTTAAACTGGACATTTGATTTTATTGTTTTTAACGTAGACTTAACATAATGAACACTAAAACATTTTCTCCAGGTGCTGATTATGGGTTGGTTGAACCGAAGGGTGGCTGCCACTTCCATGAACAGGGAGAGCTCACGTTCTCACGCTGTATTCACTGTCATGATTGAGTCCAAGGTGAGCGGCCTTGTGCTTTGACGTAGTTTACCGTGTTGGTGTATGTATTCATATTGCGAGTATTGGGTCAGAGGTTATCTGCATTGCTCCTTGACTAAAACTCTTGCCTCGCCGGGTAAGTGTGCTAACAATTGTGCCATCCTAGCTCACCAGAATAATGGAAGTAAATGTATCGCTGGTAATTTCTGCTGTGTCCCCACCTGAGAAGTATAACAATTAGTTTTGCAGGTTCATTTCCTAGGCCTACCTACAAGCTGAATTAAGTAAACCTCAGGCACTTTCTTCAGCAGTACTACATGGTTGGTTGCATGACATCTTTCTGGCATGTGTGACAGCTTTCTGACCTATGTTACATCTTTCTGGCCTGTGGTGTCTTTCTGGCTGTGTGACATCTTTCTGGCATGTGTGACATCTTTCTGGCATGTATGACATCTTTCTGGCATGTGTGACATCTTTCTGGCATGTGTGACATCTTTCTGGCATGTGTGACATCTTTCTGGCATATGTGACATATTTCTGGCATGTGTGACATCTTTCTGGCATGTGTGACATCTTTCTGGCCTAAGTGACATCTTTATGGCATGTGTGACATCTTTCTGGCACGAGTGACATCTTTCTGGCATGTGTGACATCTTTCTGGCTGTGTTATATCTTTCTGGCCTAAGTGACATCTTAATGGCCTGTGTGACATCTTTCTGGCATGTATGACATCTTTCTGGCCTGTGTGGTATCTTTCTGGCATGTGTGATATCTTTCTGGCTGTGTGACATCTTTCTGGCCTGTGTGACATCTTTCTGGCCTGTGTGACATCTTTCTGGCATGTGTGACATCTTTCTGGCATGTGGGACATCTTTCTGGCTGTGTGATATCTTTCTAGCATGCGTGACATCTTTCTGGCATGTGTGACATCTTTCTGGCTGTGTGACATCCTTCTGGCTGTGTGACATCTTTCTGGCCTGTGTGACATCTTTCTGGCTGTGTGACATCTTTCTGGCATGTGTGACATCATTCTGGCTGTATGACATCTTCTAACTAACATTTCTGACCCGTTCTTGCCTATAGAAAAAAAAAAAGTATAATTAACATGAAATCAAAGTTGTTACCCAAGAATCAAATTCTTGATCTGTAGGAAGATGCTGGCGGCGTTCAGAATATTCGAACTTCACAACTGAACCTGGTGGATTTGGCTGGGTCAGAGCGACAGAAAGATACCAACACTGGAGGCACCCGGCTAAAGGTTAGCATTTTGTTTCATATTTGGCTTAGCAATTGTTATAGCTCATCACACTTTTTGGGCATCCTTCTTCATGTCTCCATCTTGCCTGAATGTCCCATGTCTCCATCTTATAGTGTTACAGAAGCTTTAATGTCCCATGTCTCCATCTTATAGTGTTACAGAAGCTTTAATGTCCCATGTCTCCATCTTGCAGTGTTAGAGGAGCCTGAATGTCCCATGACTCCATCTTATAGTGTTACAGAAGCTTTAATGTCCCATGTCTCCATCTTATAGTGTTACAGAAGCTTTAATGTCCCATGTCTCCATCTTATAGTGTTACAGAAGCTTTAATGTCCCATGTCTCCATCTTATAGTGTTACAGAAGCTTTAATGTCCCATGTCTCCATCTTGCAGTGTTAGAGGAGCCTGAATGTCCCATGTCTCCATCTTATAGTGTTACAGAAGCTTTAATGTCCCATGTCTCCATCTTATAGTGATACAGAAGCTTTAATGTCCCATGTCTCCATCTTATAGTGTTACAGAAGCTTCAATGTCCCATGTCTCCATCTTATAGTGTTACAGAAGCTGGTCATGTATCCTCCTTTTCTGTTTCAGGAAGCAGGCAGTATTAACAAATCCCTCTCAGTTCTGGGGAATGTGATTATGTCCCTCGTTGACCTCAGCCACGGCAAAAAGCGACACATTCCATACAGGGACTCCAAACTGACGTTCTTGTTAAGGGTGAGTGTGTGTTTGTAAATCCCTCTGTGTCTGTTGAGGGTGAGTGTGTGTTTGTAAATCCCTCTGTGTCTGTGGACGGTTAGTGTGTGTTTGTAAATCCCTCTGTGTCTGTGGAGGCTGAGTGTGTGTTTGTAAATCCCTTTGTGTCTGTTAAGGGTGAGTGTGTGTTTGTAAATCCCTCTGTGTCTGTTAAGGGTGAGTTTGTGTTTGTAAATCCTTCTGTGTCTGTTAAGGGTGAGTTTGTGTTTGTAAATCCTTCTGTGTCTGTTAAGGGTGAGTCTGTGTTTGTAAATCCTTCTGTGTCTGTTAAGGGTGAGTTTGTGTTTGTAAATCCCTTTGTGTCTGAGACAGTTGTTGCTTCATTTTTAAAGTTATATTTTCTAGTGTGACTTCCGGGACCCCATCGCAAGGAAAAATATGGACTCATGCTCCCTTTATGAGCATCCCCTAAATGGCATTTAATTGCGAGTTTGTTGAAATCAGATGTTTCTCTCTCTCTGTGTCTCTCTCTGTCTCTCTCTCTCTCTCTGGTGCGCGCATACGCTGCTCGTGCACACACACGCCCGCTCGCACACACACACATCCACACACGAGAGAGAGACAGAGATAGAGCCTGCTTTGCTTAGTCCAAAGGAAAGAAAAAAACCAATTCTTTTTGAATGCAGAAGCTGCCAGGTCAGCATCTAAGGAAAAGGTTCAGAGAGTACCACATTAACATTGTACATTTGCTTATATTGATAAAACCGTGGTAATAAAGTGGTTATTGAGCCAGAACCTTCATGTACAAGGTTAATGGCCTGACCACTTCACCACCGAGACCTCTCTTTACATCTGAGAATATACTGTGTCAGCTGTGTAATGTTTGTTTGCTGTTTTCAGGACCTCTCTTTACATCTGAGAATATACTGTGTCAGCTGTGTAATGTTTGTTTGCTGTTCTCAGGATTCTCTTGGAGGCAATACCAAGACTAGAATGATTGCCTGTGTACACCCCGACTCCAGGTTAGTGCCTTGTGTTCGCTGCAGTATGTCCTGTTCTTTAACCACGCAGACCAGCATTACTCTCATTTCTATCTTGTGTGCATATGTCTTCTGCTTCTACCCAGTGGACCAACAGTGCCCTCTTATTCATCATATGCATGAATGTCTTCTTCAGCTCCTTCTTCTCCTCCTCATCCATCATCGTTGTCATCATCATCTGTTGCTTTTTCCACCCAGGTGACTAGCAGTACACTAAAATATTTATCATGTGCATGTGTGCAAGGCTTGGGTTCTAACTACCACCACTGTGGGAATTTGGAGATAAAATTATCTAATTTTAAAATGTGTAAAAGTCTATGGTAATCAGCTGGCTTCATCACAGTAGCAACCATGAAGAGTCAGAGAGACACCATCTCATCCCAGCATTGTTTATCATCCAGCAAGACAGTATAAAAATAGGCTTCCTTTCCTGTAAGTTTCAATGATAGAGGTCATGGGGTCACACCATGAGTCAGTCATTCAATACATATGGGGTTTCTTTGTTTTAAGGTCCTCGCAAATATATTCCATTTAATGCTTCATTCTCTTCATGTTTACTTACTACTCCTTTCATAGTTCATTTTTCCAGATCAGACAGGACCATAAGGGCTCCGATCTCCTCCTATGTCTCCAAGTGTTTTTAAGGCAACTTCCATTCTGTTCTGGTTGCTGTAATCACGGGTGGCTTCCACATGGTTTTCTTGTCTCACAGCTCCAATTGGTACACTCAGGATATGCTGTCTATTTAGTAAAAGATCATTTTCCATGAGACTGAAAGCCTAACAGTGTTTAGTCTCTCGTATGGCATTGATGATGTCTGTCCTGTCCATAGAGGACCTGTTCCTGATAGTGGCACTGCCAGCCAGAGCATCTGCTCTCTCATTGCCTTTCACACCAGCATACTGCAGAAAAAAAATTGGAGATTTTGCAAAATGCTGCGTGCTGTATCAGATGGAACCACTGTTTCAGTATGAAACCCACCTTAATCTTCTGTAGCATGCTCACTGAAGCGCTGAGCAAACATGCATTGGTAAACTCCGGAGTTTTCAGCCATTCTAGGGCACTCCTTACATATACCCTTATATATTTGGGAAGGGGGAGATAACAGATATTGAGAAATACATTTTTTAAACAAATTTATTAGTGGCCTAAGGCGTTGCGAGTCCGACTCGTAAGCCAGCATACCGCGATCGAAACCCACTGCAGGCTGCATGGATTTTTGTCGTGGTATGGGTCGTCGCAGGTCGACCCAGCCTAAAATGGGTACCAGGATGGGCTGTCCTGGGAAAGTAAAGACAGCCGGTGTAATGCTGACCACATTACCCACAGAGTGCTGATGGTCTGTAAAAATATGGGACGCTCTGCCCATATGCCCGATGCGCCGAAAGGCGTGAAAAGGGAACTTTACTTTCTACTTTGTGTGAAATTGTTTTGATTTTTTTCCTAAAATTCCAACAGGGTTGTGACCCATTTATTTAGTTAGTTTTTTTTCTCCATGGTGGGAGGGTTAAAAGACCTTAGCTACCTCTTGTGGTATGCGTAGTAGTTTAAAGTGTTAGTCATTCTTTGCTTTCCTGGTGGAGACTGTAATACACATGCACCACCTTTACACAGTATACAACAATGATTGCCAGGAAGCAGCATAAACAAATGTGTTAGTATCTTCTTCTTTTTCTTCTGTCTGTCAGTCTGCAAGTCTTACCTGAATAGACAGCAGGATATATCTGCCTGATGTAGCCATTATGAATACTCTAATTACAACTTGTTTAAAGCTTTCACTTCAGTATCTGGACTCTGCCTGGTTGGTCTACCATCCAGAGTGAGATTTTTACATTTCTGGATGGTATGGTAAAGCTTTAGGTAGCAGCTGGGAGAGACTAATCCAGTCGATCAGTATGTGTCTGTCAGTCCTAATCTCCTATTATAGCATAGGTCCTCAACAAAATCATGCCAAGTTCTTTGTAAACTTAGGTTTTGTAGCTTGAGTTTTGTGATCCCCTACCTCCTTGGTTAACTCTTATGACAGGTGTGTTAGGTTTAGTGTGGTTTCTTTACTGGTTAGAGTGGTCTTGGTAATCTTAGTTTCAGCTTCATAGCAAACGGGTCACTCAGTAGTTGCTCCGCTCCTGTGACAATAAAAAACACACAGTGTGTCCATCACTGGGACAAACTGACAAAGATTGCTATCTCAGCATATGCACTAGCCTACACATGTATTAAAAGCATAAGGCAGCCACCAGAAGTGCTAACACAACCAGTCTGACATTGGAAATGCACTTCATCATCAATGTAAGCAGCAGTTACAAACAGATCAGCAGTTGCACATGCGATTAATTTTATTCACATAAGGCACCACCAATACTGTGGCAACAGCCACACACACCATTTTCTGAATCTACTGTTCACAACACCATGTTGGTCACAGTCAAACAAAAATTCCAGATTAAATCTGCAGCTCACAGTGTCACGCCATGCACAAAACTCAGTAGCTGGTCAACTAACCCATGGAAACACATGGGCAGTGAATATATTTTTGCTAACTCCCCTCCCACCTCCCCCTCTCTGTGCTGTATTCCTTTGCTCTTTCTCTACCTTTGTCATCTTTCTCCATATTTTTCTAAATGCACAGTTTTTAAAGTTCTCACCTCATTTCAGGTGTTTTGGAGAAACTCTGTCTACATTAAATTTTGCCAGGAGTGCAAAACTGATCAAAAACAAGGTAAGTGTTGTTTGCTGGGTGTCTGTTTTTATAGTGTTGCTTTTTACAGGTGTGAAAAGAGAATTGTCAACGCACAACCTGGCCTTCAGATAAGAATTGACACTGTCAGCGCTGTACATGTTTAAGTTTTGAGTTTGTGTGTCAAGAAGAATTGTCAGTTTTGCTGTCGTTGTGTAAAGGGACATCTGTGTATTTGTCTCAAGGTAACCTTGATTATATTCGATGTAGTATACATCTAGACTATCATCTATGTTATGCCTCACCATGTACTGGCCAAAGAATCAGCGAAGGAATGAAAAATAAAAATTGACAAACACATCCTGTCGTCCATCTTTCACCTGTTAAGTTGACTGTCAGTTCACGAATGAGAAGTCTGCAAGTGACTGGAGCCAATCTGAATGTAAGCTGAGTCATTGCACTATGTATATTTTACTGACGGCATGTAAAAGTGTTTATTGTTGACTGTGGTCCTATCTTGGGGGGAAACAGGAATAGACAAACTGTTCCCTTTCAAGCATCTCGTAAAAGGTGACTAGTTAGGTGTGTTTCCTTCCAAACTGGAGTGCATCTGTCTGAAAGGTGAGGAACTAACAGTCTGCACATAAATAAGCCAGGTCTGTAAAATGGTTGTGCAATGAAAACTCAAGTTCTAGAACAAGGCCAAAGTCTAAAAGTGGATGAACAACTAGAACTTTCTTCCGGAATTTACCCCGATGAACAAGAAGAAGAAAAATGTTAGTTGTTGCGCTTTTTGCGCTGAATGTTTGTGTAGCATTGTTTTTTCTTCTTTCTTCTTCTTTTGCCTTTTGTCCTCGAGTGCAGCATAGGCCCTCAACCAAATCACGTGGCTGCAGTTCACCATTGTCTTGGTCCTCCTGTTGCTGTGAAACCTTCAGGTTGTATGTTGAGTTTTAAAGGTTTAAATAACATCCTGGCACAAGGGTAGTAACCCATAAGTGCTTCGTTCTACTTCTAACTCAGGTATGAGTCAGAAGAATTTCAGTGCAGTGCACGAACTTTGTAGCACCGGTGTTGTATGTATATGTGGTTATTTGAAGTTTTCATTTGTTTTTATTTTTATTTTGTACTTTCAGAAGCTGTGAGTGTTTAGTTTGTGTGTGTTTCAGGCTGTTGTCAATGAAGATGTCCACGGAAATAACCAGAAACTTCAGAATGAGATTCGCCGTCTGAAAGAAATGCTGGAAAGTTTACAGAATACCCCAGGTCATGACCCTTCACCTTGTGATCTGAAGGTTGCAGGTTGGTTGATTGAAATTGGTCCTTCTGATTAATTGTTTTGAAAACTTTCATCGGTTGCCACGGAGACTCCAGGATTCATTCTGCATTAGCTATGCATTAGTCTTAGTTTAGCCAATTGGGAATCTGTTGAGCCAAAACTATATCTCCAAAGCCAAAGAAAGAAGAGAGAAACTTTGTGCGACTGATAATCTGCATTACACCTCAGAGGTTTTTGTTTTTTGTTGTCAGTATTACACATTCCAGCACATGGGTCTGACCCATTTATGCTCCGTCCTCCGATGCAGCAGCCATCTCAGTGTCTCCAGGCTCACTGTACCAAGTAGGAGTTGATTGGCATATCTTTTATCTTTCTCCTGCAACCAGTTTCTGCATGCCTGTTCTCATTTAATACCCACTTCTAACAGGCGGTTCATTGTCATGATGTGATGAATAATTATGTTTGTTTTTCAGAAGTGATAAAGTGAATTTAGTGTTTTTTTGTTTGTTTATTTTTGTGTGTTTGTGAGCGCATGTGCTTGTTTGTCTGTTTGTTTTAAAATATTTATGTAGACCATTATCCTTTCTTGGTCTTTGCTGACATGTATACTACAACAGCTAGCCTGGTTTGGGCATGTGGTGAGACATGATTCAATTGCAAAGACTGTACTTCAGGAAACATTAAAAGGGGGGGGGGGGGGGGGGGGGGGGGGGGGGGGGAGGGTGTAGTCGATGAAAAGAAGGACCTGGAATGATAACATCAAGAAGTGGACAGGACTGATATATCATACACTTATTCGTCAAGCTGAAGACAGAGCTAGATGGCGAGTTTTATGTGCTAGTTCTTCCATCGATACACCTCCACGATCCTGATGGGTCAAGGGTTATGTTATGGATACCAGATAGACGAATGGTTCCAGATGCAAAGTGGCAAAATCATTTGTTTCATGTTCTGAATGTCAGACATTATGTGAATAATTAGGACCAGTGTTCGGAAGAGTGACTATTCTGAGATCCCTGGGGATTATCTCTTGAGCCACAGAGGTTGTGCTTTGTATGTTGCATTCGGCAGGTGGCTAGCTACTGTGTGGTTAGACACCCAGCCACACTGGATAAAACTTGGTGTGATGAACTGGATCCTCTCAACTTTTAAGCCTTAGAAACCGGAGAGTTTTTCAAATATATTTGAGTTCTTGTGTCACATCAGTACCTGTTATTGTTTCACCAGTCTTTGTCTGACTTCATAATCTTTTCACCTGTCTTTGCTGTGTCTGACTTCATAATCTTTTCACCTGTCTTTGCTTGATCTGATTTCATAATTGTCTAACCTGTCTATGCTCTGTCTGACTTCATAATCTTTTCACCTGTCTTTGCTCTATCTGACTTCATAATCTTTTCACCTGTCTTTGCTATGTCTGACTTTATAATCTTGTTAACTGTCTTGTGTCTGACTTTATAATCTTGTTACCTGTCTTGTGTCTGACTTCGTAAATTTGTTTCACGTCCCATTTTACACGACTTACTAGGCTTCTGGTTTTATAAAGTGGATAAACTGACCGACTGTTTTAGTTTTGGCTAATTATTTGTTTCTAGCCACTATTAGCTGTTGCATTTTCACCCATACGTGGACTTAGGGTGTATTGTTGCACCGCCCAGCCACTGTTTAGTGCATGGCACGACACCCAGGCACAGATTTCATTTGGAATGCTGTGCATGATGTGGTTTGTGTTGTGAACTGCGAGTGACCTGTCGCCACCGACCTGGTGAGAAATGAGATTGCCTGTCCATTAGTTGTTGTAACTCTTGATAAACTGCAAATCTAGTGGCTATTCTGATGACTGCCTCATGCATTTAATGCGTGCATAGGCTGCTGGCTTTGCCGAGACTGCCGTCAGTATTCACTTATTTTTATCGCTCAGAAAGTGGTAGGCATTTTGTGAAGTTTTCGCTAGCACAGCAACAGAGCAGCTATAGGGTGACCTCTTGTCCACGAAGCTGGAACTTCAGTTATCTTATCAACTGATAACTGATTGACTGAATTCCTAATCTGTTTACCTTTCTTATTCTGTCTGACTTCCTAACATTTTCACCTGCTGTGTTCCTGCGTCCTTGTGACTCTTGTGTTATTTCATCAACAGACAGTCAGACATTGAACAGCATTGACTCGGAATGGAAGAAGAACTTTGTTGATGCCATGTACTTCAGGGAACAGTCTGACAATGAAAAAAAGGTTTGTCCTTTGTTGTTCTTTCTTGCTGATATCAGGTTTGTAGTATGTCTGTCTGCAGGTGAACACAGTCCAGGGCATATGTCTGTCTTTCCTCCATAACGTCAGGTTTGTAGTATGTCTATAGGTGAACACAGTCCAGGGCATACGTTTGTCTTACCTCCTCAACGTCAGGTTTGTAGTATGTCTATAGGTGAACACAGTCCACGGCATACGTTTGTCTTTCCTCCTCAACGTCAGGTTTGTAGTATGTCTATAGGTGAACACAGTCCAGGGCATACGTTTGTCTTTCCTCCTCAACGTCAGGTTTGTAGTATGTCTATAGGTGAACACAGTCCAGGGCATACGTTTGTCTTTCCTCCTCAACGTCAGGTTTGTAGTATGTCTATAGGTGAACACAGTCCAGGGCATACGTTTGTCTTTCCTCCTCATCGTCAGGTTTGTAGTATGTAGCTGAGCAGTTCAGGGTCTCACTGCAGCTGTCAGGCTGAGACAGGACTCATTGCCAGCGAGACAGATTAACCTGACACAAAACCTGACCAAACTGGCTGTCACTGATGGGGAGTGGTGTCTCCACCGTCATGGGTGATGGCGTTGTGGTATCAGGGTCTAATTAACAGATGTTCTGTCTCCACGGCGAAGGTTAGCTTCAGTCTACCACTGCTGTCTTTGGGAATATTTTGTGGTGAAGTCCCAGTCTCTTCCTCAGCGTGACTCCTTTTACCACAGTGCACAGCCATGAGTGTTTAAACAAAAATCTTTGAGAAAATAAAATGCTAGTCCTAGAGGACCATGAAACTGAACTCTTTCAGTCCCAGAAGATCTTATCGGAGATGCGTAATGAGTACTTAGCTACAAGGAACAATGCTTACGTGCATTACTTTCACAGGGGTAGTAAATGAAATAGAATATAAAACATCCTCTATTGAATTTTAGGTAGCTGGCCGTGTGCTTGATGTGCAGCAGTCAGGTAACTGGCCGTGTGCTTGATGTGCAGCAGTCAGGTAGCTAGCAGTGTGCTTGATGTGCAGCAGTCGGGTAACTGATAGTGTGCTTGATGTGCAGCAGTCAGGTAGCTGACAGTGTGCTTGATGTGCAGCAGTCAGGTAGCTGACAGTGAGCTTGATGTGCAGCAGTCAGGTAACTGACAGTGGGCTTGATGTGCAGCAGTCAGGTAGCTAGCAGTGTGCTTGATGTGCAGCAGTCAGGTAACTGACAGTGTGCTTGATGTGCAGCAGTCAGGTAACTGACAGTGTGCTTGATGTGCAGCAGTCAGGTAACTGACAGTGTGCTTGATGTGCAGCAGTCAGGTAACTGACAGTGTGCTTGATGTGCAGCAGTCAGGTAGCTGACAGTGTACTTGATGTGCAGCAGTCAGGTAACTGACAGTGTGCTTGATGTGCAGCAGTCAGGTAGATCTTCAGTAACTCAAGAATTATTAAAGTCAAGCCTGACAATATCAGTATTGTTTAGATATAAACTACAAAGTCTATGCAACAAATGTTAGAAAGTCACTAATATTTTAATCTCTGCACAGCAACTTTTTGGGACACCCTGAATGTAGTACAGGTCAGGGGTGCCACAG